TAATACGACTCTGCGCTCCTCTCGGGGGCCACCGTGTTTTTCTTGCCTCTGCCGCTCGTCTCGTTTCAAGGCCACCTGTGAATGCACGTAGGTGACAGAGATGGATCTCCGTGCACTCTCCCAACAGCAATGGGGCTGGGTTCCCTCCATTAGCATGCACCCCTCCAGCCTGCTACCCACATAACATTCTACATGCTCTACATCACTCAGACTCCCTATCCTCCCTCACCCTCTCGTTTTCCTCAAATCATCCCCCACGCAAGGGCAATCCTCTCTCTCTCTCTCTCTCTCTCTCTCTCTCTCTCTCTCTCTCTCTCTCTCTCTCTCTCTCTCTCTCTCTAGCAGCCCTCAATCTGTTTCGCAGTGCTCTTTTTTTTCTCCTCATGGAGGAAAAGTGTTATCGCCATACTGCAGATGTTTTTTTACTTCGAAGGGACTCCTCTGAAACCTCCCACGGGCTGCAGCAGGACTAAACATCTTGCAACGCCCCAACATTGAACTTTTTTTCCCCTCTTAGAATCCAAGCCTCCGTTAGGCTTACCGGGACAGTTATGCGGCGTTTGAAGACCTTTGGCTGTAGTGATATCTCTGTCCTGCAAGACTCCGGAGAGGAGCCGCGGGCCAGATGTAATCAGGGTGGCTATATATGCTGGTCTCAAACTCTGTACGTGACACTGAGCAAACACGTGACACACAGGAACGAACCCGTCCGCAGTCCGAGACACCGTCTCAAGCGATCATATGTGATCTACAAGTACTCAAGGTTTCAAACTGCGCCATTAAGCTACACATATGTATCCAGTAAGTGGGTGATAAAAGGTAAAGTACTCTTTGAGAAGCTAATGCTAATCCTGGATGATGTCTAAACAGGCACGCAGTCTGGGAAGCCATTAGAGCCAATGAAGTGCATCTGGTTTTGCTTGACAGGCTATGGAGACAACGCCAATTAGTTTGCCTTGCAAACAAACGAGTATTAAATGTGCTGAATTAGGGAACAGACCCTTTTAAGCTGAGGCGCATATTAAAACTGTTTCTGAAAGGCTAGAAGACAGGATTGAAACATCTTAGACCAGCGTCGATCGGGAGGATGCCGCGCAAATGCACAATTCATCTCAATATATTTTCAGCAGAAAAGCAAGATGAAATTTCCATGCCTGGAGACACAAATAGTCAATTCGTCCTCTACATGACCAGCAGCGCTTATGGATATTAAAACCACCGGATAACCCTCTCAACCACTGTTTCAATGTTGTTGATTGTAAGAATAGCCAACGGACTGCATTGATATGTATTCACATTCATTTAAGCCTCCCTCGCAGCTACAATGTAGCTCTCAATGCACAGTGACTCTGCAATGTGAGATACCGAGAGAAAAGGGGGAACAACATATGATTCAACAAAATGGTACTTCGCTTCATACCCACCGGAACACAGATATAGTAGAGAATGGTAAGGACACGAGAATCCATTAGTGGAACTCGATTATCTCTTGGCTATCAAATTAATTAAGTGAGCGTAGGGCAGCGTGTGTGTGGGCAAGAGAGGGAGAGAGAGAGAGAGAGAGAGATCTGGTTGTTTTTTCCTTGCGTTTCCTCTAACAAATCCCCTTGTGTTGCTGCATTGAGAGCAGATTGGGTGGGAGATGAATGGATCTGAATGGCTGTAATCCAGCACGAGGCCTGAAATTAATGTTGGTGGGGATGTGGCGTTGGAGCGGGCCGGCGGAGGAGGGAGTTACACAGCGACTTTATGACTCACCATTTTTATTTAAATCATCGGCCATAAAACCGGTTTACAATCCTTCTGTTCTTCTCTTCCATTATCTCTCCCTCCTAACCCCCCTTTTAAGCTGTATGCTGTATCCAGGCCTTCTGTATTTCCTGTAGATATGGCAGTCTGTCTTTGGGTCGGCCACCACTCTTCTTTTACAGCCCCCCTGGACTGGAGGTTCTGACTGCAGTCATTTATATACTGACAAATGCAAAGCTGGTTGACTAAAGCGGAGGATACTTGTGACTGCAGCCTCAAAATGCCAACACACAAACACAGTCTCTGTCTGAATGCTTTCATAAACCACATTTTCCTGTTTGGAGATTTTGTTGTATGCTAAGCTCACCAGCTTCAGTCTTGCTTCATATTTTGTTCCGTAAGTGAGTATTCACAATTTAATTGGGATTCCCGAACGTTTGGGATCTTAAAGAGTCGTCCCGGGTGCTGCAGAGAGACACGTCCCAGGTGATATGACGTCGTCAGCTGTTGAAAAGTTTGTGTGTGTTCAATATGTTGTGTGTTGTATCCGATCATTGCAAGCAGTTTTTAAATCAGTTTCAATGATTGCTTAGTGACAAGAGCAAATCTTTGATATTTTGCCCCAGTGGAATGACGTACTTGGATTTGTAAAATAATTTCAGGGATTAAATGACAACAAAAGGCCCGTCCTGTTTTATCAGTTTAACAGTTTCTCCATTGATAACCCAGAAAATGAACTACATCATGATAAGGCTTATTAATATTGATTAAACCTTCTGCAATTATGAGTCCATATGACAACAGGAACTCACACGACAAGTCAATTAATCAATCAGTCAGTCAATCAAAATAGAGATAATCAGCAATTATTCTGGCAGTCAAAGAGCAATTTCTCAAACTTTTCAGACAACATGCTTATATTCTATGTCTTGTACTGACATTTGGAGAGATGTTTGGGTAAACCAAAATGCCTGAATACGTGGACGTTGGCCCTATTCAATATTTTCTGCAATCTTAACCGATGGATCAATTAATCAGATAAGGACTTTTAACAGAACTAATTGTTAGCTATCATTGCAGTTCACAATATGTACTGAAAACACATTGTGACATAGCGACATAGCGATCAGATTTCAACAGTCCACAAAATCTTCATCTACGCAGTCACACGTAACAGCGAGGCAGATTGTTCAACTCTTGCTGAAGCGTGCGGTTTTGCATGTGAGTGTTTCCGTGTCTCTGACCAGATGGCAGCAATATAGGGCTAAATGGTTTGACAAAAAAATGATACCATCTCCAAGTATATATTGTTAGGTCACCCACTCCTACATTATTACAGGCTGTTATTTACTGTGGTATGTTTTGCACGATGCCCAATGTTGTTGTTGATGCAAAAGTGCAAAGGCTCCTGTTGCATAAGACTTTGCTCCACGACTATCAGACTACGTGATGAAGACGTTTACAAGCTACAAAGGTGGTTGTGATCCGTCCTCTTTTTAAGAATGACTGTAAGGGAACCGTTCAGCGGACCAATTGGCTGAAAGGCCTTGGTGCAGCGACAGTTAGGGCAGTAAGTGCTTTTGCAGGTGGAATACTTTGGAGGTCACAACTGAACTTGACCCGGCTGACGACCTGTCGTCAAGGTGTCTGTCCAATCAGAGGACAGGGTGAGGCTCAACTGGTTTATCCTGCTAAAAATGAACTCAAAATATGCTGTGTGGACATATTATTGATTATCTCTTGGTGACGCATTAACAATCGCACTATAAAAGAAACAATTAATCCAATTTGCACATTTCAGCTGAGTAAATTAAGGGATGCCGACAGTTTTATTGGGACTAATACCCCAGCGTAATCCAGCCAGCCAACCCTCTCATGGGGTAATCTTCAGTGTAAACCCTAATGTGCAGGTCTCCTTGCACGAAGCTAAAGCTTGTTCCTCAGCATAGCAGTAATCCCACTAAGGCTCTTAGAGAAGTGAAATTATTTCGGAATGAAGAGAGAGGCTTTATGACTGTTACAGACTCACTCTGCAAGATGGCTAATAAATAAACATCTCTCAGGGCCTCCGGTCGGGACGCTGGATATTCTATCTCTGACGCTTCACTTGTAGGTGGAACAGTTTGACCTGATCCACACCCCCAGCTGGGACGTCATGACTGATTCTCCCTCCTCTTCCACACTCGAGCCCACCTCCAGCACCACCTTGATCCTACACAAAAATGCCTGTCCTCCAACCTGAATTTATGCCTCAGGTCTTTTACGGGGAGGGGGGAGTCCATCAAACTGTGTGTCTGCTGAGAGACGTGATGAGACAGGCAGGAGGCGGAAGCAGCTGGCAGGTCATCGATCAGTCGCTCTCTCTCTCTACCAGAGACTTTCACTATGTCCTCGCTACCCATTGACGGAGATAGAAGCCGATGGATGACCCGTGTCTCTCATTGGTAGTGTACTCTGTGTCGCACGCATATGCCCAATGATCTATCAAAGTCACCCTCCTTCTACGATGATTTCTTTATTCACATGAATTTCCACAGAAACATAATTAAAAATAGAGCTATTTGAAGGAGGACAATTCAGGAAAAAAAACCCAGCGTGGCCTGATCCACTGTGGGATTAAATTGGGACGTTTGTAATCTAGTTAGCGTGTTGCCATGAAGAACAAAGGTAACAAAGGGAAGCGATTGCAAATGCATGGCTCCATCCTGCTCCTGAGCCGCACCACTCCTCTAAAAGGAAGGATGCAGGCCGGCTCCTTCCTCTGATGAGGCCAGATGGGGCGCAATGTGAATGATCTCCATCCTTCGACAGAGCAAAAGGCCTGTGTGGCATTTTTCTTCTTCTCTTCTTTCCATTTCCGATTCAGGGCCAGACTGGATGCAGCGAGTAGAATACACTTCTGCATCTCCACGAAACCTCTCACATTTACGTCCTGGGTGATCCCCATGCCATTACAGCATTTTGTACTTGAAGCCCTCTCACTGACGCTGCGTTGTCGTTGACGCTGTACGCCATTCCTCTTGTTGACAAACCACGAAGCCCGAGGATGCTTTTACAAATGAAAAACCGGCCCAGATAAGGGCGCGCGTCAGCGGTGCGCACACGGGCAAACTGTGTTCGTGGCGCGCGTGATGTCGAGCTGAACCATAGCACAGCACTTAGCTTATAAAGCCCTAAATTGGCATTTAGCTAAACACTCACGAATATTGCAAATGCACCGTTTTTTAAAAATGGTTGAAATGTGCTCTTACCTCAACGTTTTCCCACACACAGAAGGACAACGCAGCCACCAATATGGGAATCGCGGTACGTCCCATTTTCACTGCTTCTTTTTCTCTCTCTTTTTTTAAAATATATTTGTGTTAAATAACTGCGTGCAACATAGGCCGTCTGTTACATCAGCTGCAGCGATGGACACTGTGCGTTCGTCTGCGCCTTCCTGCGTCTGCGTCCTGCTCGCTCTTTCGCCGTCGGGCTCTCCAATGGCAGCTTGTGATTTTTACGTGGATGAAGCGTGACAGAACCAAGCCCTGTTTCTGCGGGTATTTATCACGGCGCTCGCTCGCGGTGCCCCGCCGGTGGTTTTAGGGAACAGCGACATCTGGCGGTGATGGACAGAAGGTGCACAAACAGCGCTCGCCTCGCGGGAGGTTTTTGCTCGCGTGTGTAAAAAGGGAGAATTCCCCCGAAATTAAAATGATTGTCTTATATTTGTTTTGAACTGAGCAAACAAATACCACCTGGCAAATGGTCGTTGATACAATGAAAGTTACAACTCATAATAATCACAACAATACAATGTTGATCTATGAATACACTAGGAATACTTATTTCAAAATGTAACTACTTGAACAAATCAATATAATCTAATAAATAGCCTAAATAAAGGTCATAATGTGACCCTTTTCAATGTACCTTGACCTCTCTGTGTAACATAGCATTTTTCAACAATAGAAATCTGCTAAAATGATCAGAATGTCGAATCATAAGCCCTCAAAAGTAGTTTCAAACAAAAACTGAAGAAAATAAACATCATGAAGATAGAAAGGCTGCACTGCAACAAATTCACTGGGATTGAAACCTTCCTTTATTCATCCCAACATTTCTTTATTATTGTGTGCAATGATAACCTCTATATTTGAAGGAATACTTTTGGGGTATAACTTATGTCCTTGCTATGGTAACAAACTTTACATGGAGGGTTCTCACAGGTGGTAAATTGATCTGGTAGATGAGTTAGTTGAGTGGATACGCTGTTGTATTGCTTACAAACACAAACACACAAAACCTCTGAAGGCATCTGGACTCTCCAGGAGCTATAAAGACAACTAGATGGTTCAATAAATACAAATCTGAAACACCCCAAAGAACTGTAAAGCTTCACTCTGTCGTAATGTTTCTTACTTATTTTAAGATTTTCTTCATTTACATTTGACTTATTACTGTCAAACTCTAATATGTCATTTTTCATTCTCGATTTTGGCAGCAACATCCACAAGTGGTCGGCAGGGGGAACACACGTTACAACAATAAAGGAGAAGATAAACCCATCTTTGTGCCCGGTTGTCTCTGCATCATATTTTTATGTGGAGTCAGTGGAGCCTTAAGGGTAATTATTTGGTTCTATGACAGTGGTCATACGGGCCATCTATGCAACAGCTATGCAACTTCCACTTGATCCTAGTTCCTGTTGACCCCCTCTATGCTCATGTATATTTTCCATCAACATGAAAGACAATTCAAAGATTGAGAAAAGACGAATATCATGTCATTATTACTGATTTCATCTTTACTTTTCTCAAAAACTATACAGTAATATTTCATGGAAATGTACATGAGCATAGAGGGGGGTCAACATGAACTAGGATCAAGTGGAAGCAGAGCGTTATCATTTTTGGATCTGGTTTAAAGACAGTTCAAAGATTGGGATATCACGTCCATAGGGACATGACGATTGGTGCCTTTTTGGCTGTAGAAGCCATTTTACCGCAACGCCCGGAATAGAGGCACATTTTATTTTGAAATGCCGTCCACATGACCGCAGTCAGACCGAAGCAGCTGCAGGTATTAGGGGCGTGGTTTGTAAATCATAGGTGTGTAAGAGATCGGTTTCACGCGAGTCAACATTTCTTGCTCGTGACAATACAGGAAGAGACCCACCGGCGTCCGTCTTCTAGTTCTACGACGTACACACATATATATTTATCCAATTCCCATTTGAGGAATCATACCTTTGCATCGCTCTCTGGAGGGTCGAGCGGGAGCCCGTTGGACGCTTCGGGAAGATGCATTCCACCAGATATGGTGTACGTGACGTAAGTTTGGTCGCATTTTAAAACGGGCGTTGTTTACTCCCAAAACGAGTCATTCGCCATCAGACTGTTTGCTTTTGGCCTTTATGTGTTCGTCTGCGTGCGTCGGACCAGCAAACACACGTCAGAACACGTTAAGTTAATACTAGAATAGAGTTTTCACTGTGTTATTGAATACATTATTACGACCGGGAGACCTGACCTTTCTCACTGGCCACTTTTGGCCCTTTGTAATTTACTGGTATTATGATGTGGGAAGCAAATATTGCAATGAACAGGTCTTTTTTTTTTGTTTATCTACATCCACGCTGCCATCAGAAAGGCCCTTTCAACTAATCATACCATACACAAAATGCAATATCAAATGCTCGTTGGAAATGAGGGTAATTAAAAGATATATTCTGCAGAATATTCTTTTCCACATTTAGTTTTCAAAGTTATTCTTCTCAATTTGCAAAACGTAGTTATTACTTTTGCTCGTGTAATTTCAGAATTATCTTATAGCAGTCCGACCCTTTTTTTTATTTTTTATTTTTTTAACCAGCAGCTTGTGGTCTGTATTTGGTAAAATATTATACAAAGAAGAGTTAATCGCTGTTCTGATACAGAAAGTTGGATAGCCTACACCTCAGACATAAAGTAACCTCTTGCCCAGTTCATTTTTAATATTAACGTTGCTGATTTTTCTGACTTCATGGGATGGCATTTGTTATCTTTTCAAATAAATGGAATTGACTCTTATTTTCCCCCCCAAAATATCAACATTAAAGTTCTTCAGCCAAAACCCAAGAACTGGGTGGCCTCATTGGCAGCATGTAGCGTAATATATAAACAGGCTTTTTAGACTGATAACCGCATGTGAAAACTGCCCAAAGCTTATTTTGTCTTCCCTGCAGTTTCATTTCCTCAGGAACCAGCAAACATTTTGTAAATATTAATGCGTTTCTTGTCCCTACATAATCCAGTCTCGTGGGCAGAAAATAGCACCTGACAGTTAAAGGCGAACTTTCCTCTGCATGGACCTATTAATGGTTACAAGGTTTTATTCGACAGCTTCATTAAAACCATCCCAACACCTGGGGAAATGCATTCTGCAAGTGTATCCGAATGAGTTCTGCTGATGACGAGGGCAAACACTTGCAGGCAAAACAAACCGCTGTCTCTTAAATCAGTATGACGTTGACGTGAAAATAATTTTATTATACGGTCCATATTTGTCTGAGCTTTCCCCTTGCTGGGAGCTGACGGGGGCCCGCACTGTGAGGTATGCAACACAACAGCGTTGTCAAGCATCGTTTTTACCTGACCCCTCCCTGCTGCTCGGGAGGGAATGACAAAAGCAAGCAAGCAAGGGCTGTTATCTGGTTTCCCAACGTGATCTAGGTCGTTCTGAGAAAGGTGTGTTTGAGATTCTCATGGGAATGTTTCAGCTGCATTTTTTTTGCATGAATTAAGAAGCACTTTTGTCCTATGTTTAAAATATTTTACGTATTTAATAGAAGTACTACTCCTTTAAATGTTGTGGTTGTCATGCCACATCTTTGCCTTTTTGTCATTCTAAAAGCAGGGAGAGACCCTTGTGTTAAAGTGGATGTTATGCATGAGTGAAACTGTTGGGAAATGAACATGAATTTCTTTTGTTAATATTTGATTACTCACAGGCAATGATTTACACTGGATCTAGTGAGAATGCTGTGATTACTGTATTCGGTCTGTTCCCTGTTTGTGTGGAGACTTGGTTGAGTTGACGGCTCATCTTTTGTCTGGCTCAGCCATGCTGATTTCCTCGTGCATTGGCGGCCGCAATAATAGGGGAAGTTATGTTTCATCTGAGCAAAAAAAAAGTGAAGCAACTGAAGTAAATGTGTTACATCTCGACTGAAATAACTTCAGAAGAGAAGTTTTAAAAGTACAAAACCAGAGTATGATAAATATTTGATTCAAATTCAGGTTCACACAGGCTTTGCTACTGTCTGTGATTTAGTGTCCAACATCTTCTTCATGTGGTCTTCCTCAGTTCTGCAACTTGGACTGAATGTTGTCGATTTGTTTCCCTCCTTCTGCTCCGTTTCACTTTGAGCAGCAAGGTGTGGTAGGACGCCACAGGGCTGATCCTGCACTACGAGCGGCTATCTGCTAAATGAAGTGAAGTGAGAGGTGCACGTTGGTGTTTGTGCACCAACAGGGAACAAAAATGAGGCCAATAAAGCCTAACTTGCAATGATTGGCTGTTGGAGCTATTTGAGCTTCAGGCTGGTTTGTCTTGACAAGAACGATTAGTGCTTGTAAGTGAGAAGAAGGCATATTTTAAAGGGAGACCTCTGATTTAACGCATCAAAGTCTGTTTACAGGTCTGGGGGGATATTTCTGCGTATGTAGAACATTTTGAATGATGCCTTTTGTGGTTCCAGAGGGAGCCGTGCAAAATACGATGCGTTTCCTTAAGTGATGTCACTTCAGGCAATGTTGGTTTGGGCTTAAGCCTGCTTAGTCTAAAAGTGAAGGGATACAGATCAGACTTCTGTAACCAACTCCTCATCACTGCTCGGGGCTAACGGCTCAAGGCTACATGGGCTGTTAGTCAGGGGCTGAGTTGCATCATGGGTAATTTAGGTGCTAGGTTTTGACAAGGATAAAGAATGCTCTGGATCCATGAGATGAACGCTGTGCTTCTGATGCATCCTCCTTTTAATATTTAGTTTGTAACTCCATTGTGAGTCTGACCATTGTGGTGGTAATGAAATGCTGAATGTGTGGGTTTCTCTATTGGGCTGACTCTTCTTTGGTTGTGCTGTGTGTCACTGGCTACGTCATGCCACTCCACAACAGCTCCCTGAAGACAAACTCCTGAGCAGGTGCAGCACAAATGCATAGTGGAACTAATTTAAATTAAAAGTGAGATGGCATAGAAGTCAGGTAGTGGTAGTGGGGTCTGCCTTGGATAATTTGACTATCAATGATCTGCATCCATATGATTTTAAAAATCCTTTGTCCTGTGTGTTTACGACTTTAAGGAATAGCTCGGGTGTTTTGAAGTTGGGGGAAATCAGTTACTTAACACTCAGTGTGTTTGTCGAGTAAATGTCGGTTGCCACACCCCAATTTTGAAAAAGCGAACTGCCATGGCAGCAAACGGGGAATGGGAAGAAAAACAAAAAAAAAATGCCTTCCAGTTTTAATGATGACTACAAGAAAGATTACCGGTATCTTGTCAATTGTTCTTCAGCAATAAACAAAGGACACGCATTGTTATGTTCTTACTTGCCACCAGGGCTTCCGTATGATATGAGAAAGAACATCCAGTTGCAACTGTCTTTCCTAGACAGTGATGTTTAGAAACATGGTTGCGGGTCTCTAAACCGGCCGGTCACGCCAACGGATTGTGAGACTCGTCTGACGAATCGCTGCTGCACTCGAGCGAAGCCTTTTCGTTGCACCACACATTTGCACAATACCAAGACTGAAGCAGCAAATGGATATGCAATCGTTGATGAATCATTTATTTAATTATTTACAGTTTGGCTTTTCCTACTGTGACATGTAAACACACCATTTCCCCTTACTCACTTTGACTAAACTTAAACGGGTCATGGGAGGAAAGGTACGCTCGGTGTCTGTCACAGAAAGTAGAAAGTGGGCGATTTAAAACGTGGAATTCGAGGCTGCCAGGAAAATCGGCGTGTGCATCAGAGGAGGCTCTTGCGAGATAGTCACCCAACGTGAACACAAGAGGATAGTTTGAGATAATTGGGGAAAAGGTGAAAAAAATAAATAGGATTCATCAAAAGTGACTGAAGTTACATGTTATATAAAATGACTGTTGTATGTGTTGACCAAAAAACTCTTTAGTCACCTATTTCAACCGAAAGTATTTTTTTCTGTCTACGCCTGTTTCCTTCTCTATTCTATGTGAAACTAAAGTCCACATGACTAATCTTGTATCTCTGAGGTTTTTACAGTCCTGTGCGCTCTAGAATCACATGTCGATGTTTAACATCTTGACATTTTTAATCTGAACAGTGGAAGAAAAAGCAGCTTGATGAGTTCCCCTTTTTAATGTCAAATCCAGGTTTATAATTGTTGCCACGAGCAGAGTTGTATGTACTTTTAATATGAAAAGTAAAGCCCAAAGAAGTATCCCATTATTGACGCTCTATGAAGCACAACACCCGCTTATATTTTGTATAATGTTGTGCAGGCACAAGTAAATGCAATCATTAATGTATTATAGTTTAAACAGTCAAGTGACCCATATAATAAGCGGCTGAAAGTTGTACAGGAGCTTAATACCATACATGGAAATATATTCCAATGCCAACTTGAAATCTGGATTGGTATGAAAAACCACAAACCAGTGTTTAGAACGACTTTCTTTCTTTAACCACACCTGGAAAAGGTGTTTACTTGTTGTTTGAAACGCTCTGCAGCGATTGAGTGCCGAGTGTCTACCAGCGATTCAGATTGCTTGTCAAACGCTGACATTTGGTTTTTAGTTTGCGTCAGCGCGTTGTGTCTTTTCCTCCGAGGTCTGTGCTGAGAGACGGGCCGCACTATTTCCCGTGTTCGGCTCAGCGAGGTGGTATTTAATTACAAATGCCATACACATTTAAAATGGGATGGTAGTATATCTTTTTCGGAGTGAAGAATGGGTACTGATGAAGAGCATGTAATGCTTTTATTAGACTGTGATCAGTGGGACTGATAGAGAGAGACCCTGGAGCACTTGCTGACCCCATCTCCAATAATGGCCCCCTCTCTGGCCCATGATTGCTGTTAGAGATTCCAATTAGAAAGCATGTGTGGAAGCCCGAGCTGTGTAAGAATAGGCCTTAATTGCCATGAGTTATAATCTAGACTCGTGTAATTGAGCCCCCATCTTTAGGGGCAGCACATCTGACAAATTGATTTAATACTAAAGTGATTCTCCATCCCTAATGGCACTCGGGCTTCTTCACTCATGGGCTACAGGCACTGAATTCATTGTGTGTTGATTACTAACCGGCCTGAAACCTTTCTCTCAGTCCACCCACTCGAAAAAAGCACAACGGACGCACACACACAGTATCGACAGACACGCTTACTCACACAGCCTGAAGCAGCACGCTCATATTCTTCACAAGGTCTCCCTGAGTTGTCATAAGATTTCATAAGCCAAGTAAGTTGAGGGTGAGAGCTTTGTCGTTGTTACTAAACAGGTTTTGCCAGTTCTTTTCTTTTTTTTTTTTTTTTTTCTTTTTCTTCGTGCCAACATGTGCATATCAGCATGTTACAACGTGTCACTCTTTGAAAGTAGTTCAAGGCGTTTCACATCCTATTGGCTGGCTGAAAGGCTGAAAATGGTGCCAGGTCAAATATATAACGCTACTAAAATGTGATGTCAACTTTTTTGATAATGAAAACGCAAGTTCAGCTTTTTAAAAATGTGTTCATTGTCTTTACTACTCTAGACATTTAATGGCATTTTCTTGACCTAAACTTTATTGTTCATTTTATTTGTGATTTGTTCACTCAAAAACTGTTTAATGACGACCCAATGCTTGTAATATACTATCTTTTACAGTTTGAGAGAAAGCAGAGGTATTGTTACTGTGATACTTCCCCCCCCCCGAAGGCTTTCAGAACATGGCACACGTTGCTGACTCAGTTTTAACTCTTTTTCTGCGCCAGGGTCACAATGGCCACGACGAGCGTGTTGACTTCTTAACCAGCACCGAGAAGGTTTCCTCAAAGCGGAAATACGGCATCCTGATCGGGCTCCTTGTGGCGCTCCTCATCGTCGCGGCCGTTGTAGCCGTCCTCGTTTGGTTGTTTGTCTGTGAGTACAATTGACCGTTTTTCTTTTTCTATATCATCCAAGTAAAGGACAATTTAATATACATAACTAAGCTTTTATCTGCGTTTGGATGTTGGAGATTTTTATGTCTTCAATGTCTTCTGTCTTGCTATGAAGGCACAGCTCTTTTGAAGAGTGACTTGTTTGGACTTTGTCGTTTCCCCACCAGTGTTTGACTATTCGACTCACTTTACTACTTTAAAGGTACTAACTCTCATCTGGTTCTGTCCTCCAAGTTAAAGATGCTGATTCAATGGCCACTCTAAAAAGACACCAGATCCCTTCAACGCAGCTCTTCAGTGGGCATATGAAGCTGGTTGATGTGCCGTACAAAGAGCAGCTGGAGTATACCGACAGCAAGGAATTTGCGGATTTGGCAGACAATCTGGAGGCAATTGTGAGTTTGACTTTCAAAGTAGATGACGTCACTCTTCATTCCCTTTCGAACAGCTATATAGTTTTTTTCTTAACTATTTTAGTAAATTGGTCCACGCGGTTCCCTGCGCTCAAGGATTGTTCCGTAGAGTACTTTAAAAAACGTTTTTAAATGGTTTTAGTAAAACTGGAAATGGCTTCATATCTGCTGTTTTTGAATTTTGTAACTTGATATTTCATTCCATGTCAACAAATCTCTCAGTCCGGAGAACCAGCCAGTTCCTCTCCCTCCACAACGTTATGCTTTTATCAGTAACTGTACAAATGAAACCTGCTCATCCTTTTCAGGTGGCCCGTTTCCCATTTTTAGTGCTACCGTTTCAATAAAATCACCTGAAGTTAGATATGGGCGTACAAGTACATGCACAATGTGTGGTAGAGCCACAGAGTATGACTGCTGTGTGAGACCGTTTGCAGCTGAATGCAAAAAAATTAATTGAGAATCTCATTGTTGTGTGCTTTCTGTGAATTGCATTTATTTATGTTAACAGGCTAATTAGTGATTTTGTCTGTAGGCAGACAAGTGTAAGTCTTGAACATGTTCTTTTCAGTTGAAATACATCTTCTATACACAGCTTAAAGAAACCTACAAGAGAGATCCACTCCTCGAAAAATATTACACCAAGTCTGTGGTCACTGCATTCAGGTAATGTGAGATCTCCATTTCTGCTACATGGACCTCTTCATGGCCTTCCTCCCTTCACACAATATGTCCATTTCTTTCTTACCCCTACTTGCACCAGTGAGGGTGTGATAGCCTACTATTGGTCCCAGTTTGATATTCCAGTCGAAGACCTGTCGGTGGTGCCCCAGTTCTCGGAGGACCGCGTGTTGGAGACCCTGGAGAACGGCCTAAAGATGCAGCGCAGCATGGCGAGCACCGGTAGTATCCAGATCCGTGAGGTCACTGCCTCATGTAAGTACCACCCGGGCCAAGGTGGGGGGGTCACAACAAGGGGCCAAAAGATGAGGACAACCAGCCGTTAGCTGCTGGCTTTAGAATATGACAATTTAACAAAGATTGAATTCAAAGGGTTTCGGATATTTTCGCCATTACAGTTCTAAATAAGACAATTGTTGCCTCCCATATGTATTGGTATTGTGTGCGCCTTCGGTTTGTATTAAAGGAGCTCGCTCTGAGTTGTGCTGATAGGATGACAGCAGATAAGCCCGACCTCTCTGCTTGTGCTGCATCTGAGCACATTTGATGCTCTTTGGATCCCCTAATGATATTGGCTGGGCTCTGGCCTGGCTTTAGACAGTCATTTTTCTTTCCCGTCCTCTCAGCATTCCCATTTGTCCACATTGTGGCCACCAGCCAAGTGCTGGCCCTGTGACTCTGTGGTCTCCCTCTTAAAATGATTTCCGTGATTAAAACGTGATGTTACTGCCCAGATGGTGCAAAGTGAGATGGTGCAGAGTGAGCTTCACACCATCGCCAGTTGTAGGGAAATTACACAGAAAATGTGCAACCCAAATATTTTTGGGCAGCCTGCTAACATCAGCCACCTCTGCCCCCTCCACTCCCCCCACCTTCCTCCACTCTCGCTGTCAGATACGGATCCACGCATGGCCAGGAACCCCAGAGACACTGGTGAGTACAGAATGTCCCATTTCAATCACTAATTTTAAAGCTGGCTGGCCGCTCACCATCCTGCCAGTCTGTAACGAATGGCTAGCTTGTACTGTACGTATGTCTGAGATTAAGGCCGCGGGAGCCAGTCACTATGTTGACACTTTTCTTTGACACTGCTGATTTAAAATACATTACCATCGTGGCCGTACTAGCCTTGCAGTAATGTGTGATCTATAAAGGATGGAAGAACCAGTGTTCAAATGTGTTATTTGTGATCCAGTCGTTGCTTTGCCAAATTAAGAATTGATTGCATGTGTAGCGATTCAGTACATAGTGTACAGTCTATTTCTGAGGAAAACTGTTAGAACCAGTAGAAGAAGATGAAGAACATGAACGGATTTGAATTTGTGTGCTATAAACTGCTTTTGCTAAGTTACTCATATCTATGCTGACTGTATGATTTTAACAAATGTTGTTTTCCCCAGGCGAGTGTTTCTACCGTCTGGAGGCAACGGCAAAGACAAACACGTTTCTCTCACCTGGGTACCCTGAAGGCTACCCCCCCTGGTCTCGGTGTCAGTGGCAGATCCGAGCTTCGGAGGACCAGGCCGTGTTTGTCTCTTTCCCTTTTTTCGACATCGAGGATGACTGCGCCAACGATTTTGTCGCCATCTTTGACTCTTTAAGTCCAGATGACTCTCAGGCAATCACAGCGTGAGTCCGGGGACTGTGAACGTCCACCTGGTTTCAGGAAACGCATCGAATATGCGGGGGAGTGTTACTAATACTTCTCCTTTGAGACTTGCATGAATTTTTGCTCAGTGACAGTGATACATCATATTCTAATTGTTAAACCTTTGTAGCAGGGTTTGTTTTTGATAGTGCTCAACCGATATTTGTTGCATTTAGCTTTAATGATCAGGGAGGGGCGGTATGATTCTGTAGTGGACAACCACTACTGAAATGTTGCAGAGGGATTTAGGAGTAAAGGCTTTTTCATGTGGGTGAAAAACATGTTCCAATTCATACCTTTTTCACTGGATTTGTGATTACATTTTTTTTGCAACTGACGCCTTTACACTCTGCATCATATTTTATTAACTTTTAAGACCTTGGTGAGATTGAGTTGGCTCAAAAAGACCTCTGCTCTCAAATCTGTTGAGGGTGCCAACCTGAATCCTGCTGCGCTACTGTGTGTAATTGCACTTTGTCTACGGGGGTGGGTTATGATTCTGGAAACTAGTCTCCTGTCTGAAATCACAGTACTAGCTGCAGGCAATTTTAAACTCAAACCTTTACCAAACAAATATGCGTTCCCAAGCGGTGCATACATTCTTTATAAAGCTATTGAGCGATCAGCTTTATCCAAGGTGACTTGATGTTTATGAGAGCCATAATATAATACTCTATAATGACATTATTCTACAAGCGGTAGATGTATTACTGCTCTTGCAGCTTCATTTACACCTCCATTGCTCTGCCGCCAGCAACGTTGAAACTTTTGGCTAATATAACTGATGTTTGACTTTGAAACTCTGCCCAAGCAATGTGTATGTGGTGTTTGCACAATTCTTCTTCTCTGCTTGTATATTGATTCATTTTTTTTTTTAAATTTGCTAAATTGATGTTTTACTGCTTTTGACTTAAAATGTTTTCTGCTGTATATTGGAGTTCCCTCGGTAAATAGTAAACCTCAATCAGTGAACACATCAGACGTTCCGCGTGTGTTATGCTTGTATTTACTTTTTGTGAACACCTGACTGCTTCTTCCTTCTCTCTCACAGAAAGTGTGGTAAGAGACCCCCCTCCAATCCTCTGGCGGTGCTGTCATCCGGCAACATTATGCTGATTAATTTCATTACTAAAGCCAATCACCAGAGGAGTGGCTTCGAGGCCACTTATTCAGCCATCCCAATGTCTCAAGGTAGTTACCAGTCGTGGAGCACACTATCATTATATATTACATATTTTATCTATGTTGGTGTTCCTTTTTATTAATCTAGTTATGTGTATATTTAAACTCATTAAATAATTCCAATGTGTCATGCTCAAGTGTGAATGTTGGCTGTTTTCTTTTTAGTTCAAACCTGTGGCGGTGTCCTCTCTGGTGTAGAAGGAACCTTCTCCTCCCCACTTTACCCCAGCTTCTATCCTCCTGCAGTGGATTGCAAGTGGACCATCAAGGTTTGCAACATTGCTTTTCTCCCCGCCCCTCCACCCGAAACCCCTCCTTCCCCATCCTCGGCTTGCCAACGAGAGGAATGCTGCGGCAGCACTAGAGAAGCCAAGCTGTTCAGTACCTCCTCTATCTTTGTCGGTCCGACTGCTGTTGCAGTTCTGTCTGTTGCTGGTGTGTCTGTAGTGCGCACGTGTCCTCGTGCACGCGTTCACCCACGGCTTGTATGGGTGTGTTTCCAAACCTGTCGTCCTCCATTCACATGGGATACGGGTGCATGTCTTGGTCTGTAGCTGGAGGCGTGACCTAATGCTTGGTAAATAAGGTTGTTATGAACCAGCTCTTCCGCTGTGATGTAGGTCCCTGCAGGGAAAGAGGTCCGCCTGAAGTTCACCATGTTCCGCATGAAAGAGCCCAGAGTGGACATCAGTGTGTGTCACAAAGACTACGTGGAGGTTATGGGCACCAAGTAAGGCTTCAACTTATTTCACTGACAACTAACAGACTTGTTGGTCCAACTTCGACCCACCCTACTTGAATTGCCCTTTACTCTTGTAAGCATATTGCCATCATAGCGACTAGAATCGCAAAAAACACCATGCATTCATGAATATTCATATTGAACTTTGTTTTGCAGGTATTGTGGAGAACTGTCCTCTTTGGTTCTGACCAGCACCAACAGCATCCTCGACGTGATCTTCCACTCTGACGAGTCCTTCACTGACAAAGGCTTCAGTTGCATCTACAGCGCCTACGATCCTGCAAACCGTGAGTTGAAAGTCCTGTTTTTTGCACCCATGTTTATGCAACGTGTTGCGTCGTTGTTGTGACACTCACAGCCTTCCATTAACGGAGTTAGACGGAGGGATTAATTGCTCAGTCTGAGGGACTATGAGACGGCAGCCTGTCTGAGAGTCGAATGAGCTGTTTAGTGATGTAGGCTCAGAAACTGCACCAGTGAAACTCGAGAGCTAGACTAATCACCAGGGAGCTTGTTTATTGGGTCCTTTTTTTAATTTTTATTTGCCACTGTCAGTCAGGAGCACACCCCTTTCAATACCCTCCGCTCTTTATGTCGTCTCCCACTTTGACCAAAATGGATTTATAATTGCTGTGATCAACAGGGACCAGCGTTGGCAACATGATGGATGTTGCAAACATACACTGTCACTCCCTCTTGGTCAATTTATCATCATCATATTTCTCTTTTCTTTTTTTTTTTGTCTTCTGCCCATTCTCGTTTCTGTTTTTGTGAGCAGCTTGCCCCAACAAATTTGCATGCGCCAGTGGCCTCTGCATCAAGAAAGAACTGCACTGCGATGGCTGGAACGACTGTGGCGATTTGAGTGACGAAACGAAGTGCAGTAAGTTCTCCCCTCAACCCAACGGGCGCAGCCCCTAACTCCAATTCCTCATCCACTTTGCTCGATCCTCCTCGTCGCCCCTTAAAGGAATAGTTGCAAATTTCTGCAAATACTCTTATTTTCCATCTTGAGAGTGCTGAATCACGTGAAGCTCAATGGCACACTCATAACTTTACAGTAAGGCTTTGGACAGCAGCCAGTTAGCTTAGCGTGGGGACCAAACACCGGGCGAAATGACTATTCCTGGCTCTGTCTGGAGGTGTCGTGTATGTGATAATAATCTATGGTTTGGCTGGGTCTGCTGATTTCTTGTCTTATTGTCATTATGAGGTGGCCAGACTGCAGCAAGTTTCTTACTGAGAATGTAAAATAAATTTATTTATTTACACAATCCCCTGTAAAACCACAACTTGTTTTCACGCTTTAGTTCCAGTACTAATCACAGAAACTAGGTAAAATGTTGTAATTATTGTAATTGTGTCGAGGCAGGCTAAGCCAACTCGCTGCTGGCTGTACGCTCGCATTTATTGTCCCACACAAATTAGAGTGGTATTGATCATCTCATTCAACTCTCGGCATGAAAGCGAAAAAGCATTTTTCACAAAATATCTGCCAAATTCTTTGGGGGTCCAATCATTACCTTCTAATAGTTATCTTTTGAACCACTGGTTTAAAGTATAGTCAGAGTTGATAAATGTGCGCCTTTCCAATCACTCATGTACCTTCTCCTCCGTTGTACTGTTTAATATAAGAATATTTCTCTGACCTTAGATTGTGATGCAGATCAGTATTCATGTGCCAATGGTCTGTGTAAACCCAAACTCTGGGTGTGCGATCGCGTCGACGACTGCGGAGATGGGAGCGATGAGAAAAGCTGCAGTAAGTATTGCTTAAGAACTCGACAATCTAATGCCACGCTGATGGTGCTAACAGAAAGGCCCTGGTCGATTCCTGTGCTGTATCAAGTCATTCTTATGTTGCAAAATCTGTATGACATTTTTGCCCATCTTGCTCCGCGTCCCTACAAGCACTTATGTACTATACACACTCAAGAAGAAGAAGGGAGACTGGTGAAAATGTTTACGTAGCTTCACTGCTAATGTTCTTGTGAAAAGTATTTGCTTGTCCTCCGGCCTATTGAAGTTTTTCCTCATAAATTTCTTTAAATGTCCTTATCAGGTTGTGGGAAGAACGAGTGGCGCTGTGGTGACGGGGTCTGCATGCCTCAGGATGTTATTTGTGACAAGAAGATAGACTGTCAAGATGGAAGCGACGAGGCCGCTTGTGAAGATTGTAAGTGGCCATATTTATTCTTTCCAGCCAATCGGGCATTAGAGAAAAAAAAACCCATATGATTTTCTAAGAATGTTATGCAAGCCATTATGCAATTAACCTCCTGTCAGTCAAATTTGACAAAGATTATGTAGCGACAACGGCATTCCAAATTCATTGCGCTTCTCACGTTCTTTGATCACACTCTCGTTTTCTCCTACTCTTTATCAATTTCCATTTCAATCACTTACTTGGTCAAACACACACACACACAGAGGTATTCTTTGCATTTCCTTTTGATTTTCACTTCTGTGACTAAAGAGGGATATTAGACTTCAACCCCAATCAATACAGCCAATCAATGCAATCTGCTCCTCAATCACAATGCATTGGGCAGCCAATCGTCACTTTGAAGCCTCTCTGATTGCAGAGTTTAACCAGTAAAATTCTATGCAATGCCCTAAAGCTTTGATTGGAATATGCAATGCGTCTTGATTTTGGGACCTGTCTCACTGGAAAAAATGTCCCTCCAAAAATAAGTAAAAAAACAACAAATACGAGACGTTTTTGCTTGAAATAAGCAAAAAATCTGCCAATGGAACTAGTGAAAATCGGCTTGTCAAGATTTCTTGAAATAAGATGTAATATTTAGGACTTTTGAGATAGGAATTGATCTGGAAATTAGACGGACTCACGGTTTGGAGTTTTCTTCTTACGCAAAGATGCGGGCATCTTAGATGAAGGACAGAAATATACATAATTAAATACATGGCATTAATTCATAGAAATTAGTAACTTTATAAATAATATGGTAGCAATTAGTTTGAGTCTTCCAGTTTATTAGTCTTCCAATCAAAAGAAGTGTAAACTATGAACACCACACAATGGTAAATTTGTAAATGTAATGTTAGAACTCACATCTGGCATTGCTGCCCGAGTCTGGGGTGCTACTCCCTTCAGAAGGGAAGTCTTGAATGCTTGAATGCTACCCCCTTTTGAGGGGAGATCCAGAATGACTGTTGAGTCACTTGAATCAAATTCATCTGGGTCAGTCAGGTTGGCACTTTGGCTCCTCGAGTCGGCGCCTCTTTGGATTGGTCTTTTGGGGTGATCTCAAATTTTTCAATCTTTTGTATAGCTGTGAGTACACAGTAACCTGTGACAAGAAAAATTCAAATAAATGCTTCAAACATGCACCTGGATGCATTTGACCTACCCATGCATACTTGCTGCTCAGGTCTCGGTCCTGCAGCATGGGGTAGTACAGCACTGTTCGCTTTGCCATAGCTGTTATTTCTGGCTTTGACGGGTATCTGTCTCTGTCCCCCGTTGCCCTCAGGATTGCGATCATACTGGTCATGGTGTTTCGGATGAGCCGACATCTGAGGTCCTTTGACATTTGGCAGTTTCTCTCTTCGCCGGCCTTCGCCAACTCAAAATATTGTTTTCGGCATTGCTCTAGTTTGGTGTCAGTGTGCAATACATATTCTGGGATAGATAACTTCACAACATTTTCAGGTGTTGTGTGCTTTGCAGGACATCTTTTTACTTGAGTGGATGTCTGAGATAGGGGTGACCCAATCATAGAAGTAGAACTGCTCGTTGATTTTGAGTCTACAGTTTCCTGTAAAATAAAAGATAATTAAGTATTTGTAAAAGCAACTTTTAATGTATACTGTCTTAACACAAATTGTGATGCAGCATTGACAACTCCACTAAGGTTATAACAATAATCCTAAATAGTTTGTGTTAATATTCTCCTTTTAGTGATAATGAAGGTAGGTTTAGTGATTGCCTTATGGTGTTGGATATAAATACTTACTAAACAAGCAGAAAATGAATAAACTTACTTCATCATCAAAAAATGTAAATACACATGATATAACAATAGATAAAGAAATGACATACCTCAGTGGATTATGCATCACATCAGAGTGGTAAATTAGACATTTTAATCAGTCTCTCAACTCTCTTAATTCTGAAGCAATTTTAATTCAAATTTACTGAATGTATATAGCAATCTACATTTTTTCGAAACTCATAAAAGCATACATTCTAAATAATTTATATTTTAAGTTGTGGTTATTCCGAATGTTTTAGTATAATAGATCAGAGTAGATCCACCCCAGTAACTGGATTTAATTGAAACACGTAACCAGTATAAAGTTAAATTTATCCAATTTATAATAAAACCATTCCATTCAAATCTGTTCAGAATTGACTCTGATGAATCATAAGTATTGCAAAGTAGGTTTTTACTTACAAGGGATTTGTCTTGGTGTTACTGGTGCATAATAAATATGACGAAAAATTAATAACCACGTTAAAAATGTATATTTGACTACGTTACCTCTTAAAGTCGACACCGTGACGTCATCAAGTTCGTCCATGCTGTTAGCAGTTTTAGCTAGCAAGTTAAATAACGTTAGCTAACGTTAGCTTGTGCTCGGCTGCAACAGTGTACACAACAAATAATATTAAATATAATATTTAAAATGTAATGAAATGCAATGAAATACGAATTCAAACCGTCTCGGACGAGGCAGCTTAATTACGCACCTGTAACGTTCCCTCCAGTGAGCCGTCTGTGTTCCGTACTGCGCATGCCCAACTTTCAACAGACACGACAAACGAGTAAGACGTCTCACTCCTTCAAAGAACTAGTGACTGTATTATGCTCACTGTATTATGCTCAGATTTTGAATAAAACGCGTTGTTTTTCAGAGACGGAAATAGTAGTGGAGTGGGTCCTCTCTCTTTTTTGTTTAATCTTTAACGAGGACTAACGTAAAATAGCGGGACAGCTGAGTCACATCAACTCTTTACACAGTCGCAGCCCTGACTTTCGCATAGTGTGTGGCATTGATGGCTGTCCTAGTGACTATATGAGTGTATAACATGATTCAGACACATTCTGGGGACCTTGGTCAACTGAAGAGTGATGTGATGGGAGTATTTGACCAGTTTAATGACCCTTTCAGTCAAATCGCTACAACATATTTGCAGGATAAAACAATCAAAGAACTGTTACAGCCAGTTGAACCAGAGACGATTATATAAAAAAATATGGTATGTTATGAGAGTTCTTACCATTGAACACCATTACTTTTATTATATACCATTGTTGAAGTTTGGAACAGCTGTTAATGCATCCAAGAGTTCTTGCAATGATTGATCAGGGGCCACAGCCATGCCGGGATGGATTTTTTCACGATTGTATTGATGGAGACATTTTTAAATCACACCCACTGTTTTTGACAGTCCCCACAGCATTGCAATTCATTTTATATACAAATGAAATTGAATTGTGCAATCCTCTTGGATCTCGGGCAAGCAAAAACAAATTGTTATTGATTTATTACACCTTAGGTAACATCAACCCTAAATACAGATCAAGACTTGCTGCCATTCGTCTGCTTGCCATGGTAAAATCAAAAGATATTTCTGATTGTGGTATTGATAAGGTGCTTGAGCATTAATTGTGACTTGATTGAGCTGTATGATAGTGTTAAAAGTTGTCACTGCAAATGGTGAGAAGACAATTTTTGGGGCGCTTATGACTGTGTGTGGAGACGCTCAACATGAAGTGGCTGGATTTAAGGAAGGAGTAGGGTTTGCCTACAGTAAATGCAGACACTTGAATGCAACTTTGACGACATGCAGGAACAATTGAATGAAGATTTGTTTGTTAAAAGGACCATGACAAGTCATATCGACAATGTAGAGACATTAAAAAAGCAAGCACTGACTTTCTGAAAGAAAATCTAAAAATGACATATGGTATTAATAGGAGAAACAAATTAACAGAATTTCCTCACTTTGATATAATCAAACTCCACAAGACATCATGCATATTATTCTTGAAGGTGTTGCCCCATATGAAATCAAATGTGTTTTAAACCATTTTGTGCTTTCAGAGCATATGGAGTTAGACGCATTCAACAGTGCAATTATTGTTATCCTTTACTCTTTTGGATGGAAGAGATAAGCCTTGCCCCATATCGGTCAATACACTGTCATCAAATGACAATAAACTGAAACAGTCAGCAGGGCAGATGCTGGTTTTGTTAAAGAGCATGCATGAATGTAGTCAGATTGTGCATGAGACACATCCAATTTTTTCAAGTGAAGTTGATATCGGCCCAGTCTCTGAGGTTCAAAATGTTCACTACGTAGAAGGAAAGATTAAAGACTTCCTAGGAATAGAGCACCTTCAACATATAGTTTCGGTAAAGTGGATAATGCAACATGGAAATAAGTGTAGATGTGAGAAAACTTTGGTTATTTGTAATGTCATCAATAGTACTCCAGAGTCTGGACATGTGAAAAACATCTACATAGTAAATTCTTCACTGTATTGTTTTGAATGCCAGCCTCTCTCTATAAATGAGTGGAATGATCATTATTTATCTTATGAGGTACAAGTTCCCTACCTAGCTCAAGCCAATATTTTTGTGGATGCTGATAAACTTGATTGAAAGAATAGTTCAACATTCTGGGAATCCCTAGTCTTGTGATCACCATGAGGCAAACGGCAGAGACTCCAGAACTATGAGTTTTTGTCCAAATCCATTGAAACTTAAGGATTTCCTATAAACAAGATATATTTTCTTAAATTAAAAAAGTGTAATTCCTGAAACAAGATGATTTATCTTTTGCAAACAACACAGCAGCTTAAAAATCTCTTCAAAAGTTAAAAAAGCTTGTTTCATATGACATATGACTCAAAACTAGATGTTTTCAAGACCTTTTCACTTAACAAGATATTCAAGATGTATTGTCTTAAAACAAGTCCCTATATCTTGCTGAAATGGTATGTGGTAGGCATTTGTATCTTATATTAAGTGTAATGGGATATTTTGACTAGAAATGAGACAAATATACTTGGTAAGATTTTGATTTTTTCCAGTGCTCCACCCCTTTTTAGCTCAAGGCGTCTGTTCTGACTTCAACTTCAAGTGTAAGAATGCAGAATGTGTCAACAAGCTGAATGCCGAATGCGACCGTGTTAAAGACTGCTCTGATAACTCCGATGAGGACAACTGTGGTAAGGAAGATTTGTATCCCTTTGCACCTTGGAAAATGTTTGCTTTTTTTTCTCCCAAAACTGCTGCAAGTGGGCCTTGTCTTCAGTGTCAAAATAGATTATACAAGACCTAAGTTGAGCTGTGCGTTGAGCCGTCTGTTAGAAAAGAGCCGCAGGCCTTGACTGATTTATTTATTTAATTCTTTTTTGAAAACAGCTCCTGTCATTTCAAGGTTTTGTGTTTTTCCTCCATTTGGGCCTAAGGGTGTGGCTGTGTTTTTTAAATTTTTTTTTCTTCGTTTGATCAGCTAATATGCCAGTGTGCCTTATTAGGATTCCAAAGAGTCATCGTAGCATTCTCAACCAAGTCCGACCTAATAATAGCTTATGAGCTTGATCTAATTTTTCAGATTTTTCCTCCTGATCAAACAAGTCTCACTTATTATTATTATTATTATTATTATTATTATTATTATTATTTTCGTTCACCAACCAAGGCCCCTCCTCACCCATAATATTGTCTGTTAACTGCCAGGCTGTGGCACAAGGCCCTATAAGCTGAACCGCATCGTGGGAGGGCAGAATGCTGAGCTGGGCGAGTGGCCGTGGCAGGTCAGCCTTCACTTTAAGACCATGGGACATGTGTGCGGTGCCTCGATCATATCTGATAAGTGGCTCCTTTCGGCCTCCCACTGCTTTATCACCAGCGACAACGAGTGAGTCACTTTTTATTTCCATAGCACGCATAGAGTAGGAATGTACGGTCTAACTTTCTAATATGTATTTAACAGATTCCCTCTCGTACATTTGGTGTAAAGCTTGTTGCTCCTCTTTTTAAATGTTATGTATCACAATATTGAACATTTTATTGCATTACCTTGTGCAATATTTTCAGACTTATTCTGATGGGTTGGAAAAAAAATGACTGGAAAACGGGATGATTTTATATACATAAAATTGGCCCTTTATGATGAAATTCATTAAAAACAAACCACCTTTGGGGGCGTAAATTGACGTCTCGTGCATGAAGTATGGCGTTGTATTCATCAGTACCCTGTAGGTGGAGCACTAGCCAAGCTGTTCGACCTGAGTCACCTCTGTTTTTGTTGAAGTGAATTTGTTCATTTCCAGTTATTTTTAAAACTTTTTTTTTTTGTATATTCCCACCATAAAAGCTATTTGCAAGCATTTTCCAGAATACCCAATTGGAATCCACAACTTTTTTCTTTAGATCCATATCACCAGATGTACTATTTTTGCTAAGTGAGGGCAACACAGTTATACAAACACATACTACTTTTTGTACTTTACAATTCTTTTGTTGTGTGTTTAATTGCGTCGTGTTGAAATCTCCTCTTATCGTTTTGTTTCCAGGAGGAAAGGCTCTCACTAGCATAGGTCGAAGTGTTGTTGTGTTGAACACTTGTTTGGTTCTACATGTACAGTAACCTTTGCCCCCTGATACAACCACAGTCACCTCGTTCCATCGAACTGGCAAACCTACAGCGGCATGCAGGACCAGTACAAGCTGGATGACATACAGCTCCGATTAGTACAGAGGATCATCACCCACCCGGATTACAACCAGATGACCTTTGACTATGATGTTTCACTGCTGGAGCTCAGCAAACCGCTGGAGTTCACCAACACCATCCAACCCATCTGCCTACCCTCTCCGTCCCACGTCTTTCCTCCGGGCATGACCTGCTGGGTCACAGGCTGGGGCGCGCTCCGAGAAGGAGGTATTATGCGCGAACGGGGAGATTGTGGTTCGAACTGTCGGCATTTGTTTTTGTCTTTTCACTGCAACTTATTATACTATATACAAGTTGTTATTATTAATACTTGATTGTGGGTGACCCACTCTACAGTTGTGCTTTTTCCTGTTGCCATATCCAACTCGCATCAAACTGACGTCCCACTCCTCCCCCATTCTTCCTCACAATGAGCTATTCATCTCTGTCCTTCATCTTCCTTACCAGCCCGCTTTATTCTTCTCTTCATCTCTTTCTCATTTAACCCTTTATTCTTCCTCTCTTCTTCCTCCCATTTCTTTATCTTTCCCATCATGACATACTTCTCAGCTCAACCCTCCCTCCCTTTTTCCTCTCATCTTTTTCAAATCTGCTCTATTTCATTACGCCTTCTTCCACATCCATACATCAAGACAGACGCCCGCTCTCCTGGGAAGCCTCTTAAACCTTCATTAGCTAACACTATTCCGGACCATTAACACCTTTCCATGTTAATGACGAACACTGAGGTCACGTGGCCCCTTTTTTGTTCCGCACTTGCAGGTTCAAAGTCACAACGGCTCCAGAAGGCCATGGTGAAAATCATCAACGACACGGTATGTAACACGGTCACGGAGGGCCAAGTCACCTCCAGGATGCTCTGCAGCGGATTCCTGTCAGGAGGAGTCGACGCATGCCAGGTGAGAGCGAGCAACGCGTTCCCCAGAATAGGATAAAAGGACAAAGTGATAATACAGATTCACACTTTTATAATTATCACGCTCTCACCTCCCAGACCCAATGTATAACCGCTCTCCTCTTACTATCGTCACCAGGGAGACTCTGGAGGCCCCCTGGCGTGTTTCGAGGAGAGTGGGAAGTGGTTCCAGGCCGGCATTGTGAGCTGGGGGGAAGGCTGCGCGCGTCGCAACAAGCCCGGCGTCTACTCGCGCGTCACCAAGCTGATAGAGTGGATCAAGAGAGAGACAAAGATTTGATGATGTCGGTGGGAATAGAGCGGGGATCGACATCATAGTGCTGAGAATAATTGAGATGGAAATTTTTGAATCCAATTCAGGACAAGTCTCTCTAAGATTTATTAATTTAGCAGCAGAGAGCGGATTTTATTGCACGGATCCAACCCATGAATTACTTTCTTTCAGACTACCGTTTTTCTACTAATGACACACACACACACACACACACCTACTGAACCTTTTTAACGATTTTAAAAAGTTAAATTGTAAACCAGAGAGATGCTCTCATCCTCTTGGGCAGCAGTAAATGATGCATTTTGTCTTGTTTTCATTCTGTACAGAACTATGAATTTTAGGTTGTATTTTAAAGTACTAGAACTCATTTTAGCCTCGATGCATGTATAAAGTAGAGGGACATGGTTCACTGGGATGTCACTTATTGGCCTGTGGACTGCATCAAATGGTCTGTATTTTGGGCGTCCCCAGCCTTGTTTTTGGTTCTCGCCTTCTTGTTTTTTGTCGGTCGCCATGTCTGCATTTTACAACGTGAGTAGAAGACAACTCAATGCTGAATAAGACCAACAATCCTTAAACTTCCATACGTTGAAAACGCACTGTGAAAGGTTGGACTTCTAAGAGAAGAGGTCAGAGACCGGATAAAGCCACGGTCGAGGCCTGTCAATCAATAGGAAGCCCCTTTTCTCCATAACGTTTATTATTTTACTTTAAATTGGAACATAATTAACTAAACATCATGCTGCTTTCACAAAGACTTGGTAATTATGACCATAAACTCAAGTTTGCAAAGTTTACTTTGGGTCATGTTCTCATAGTTGAATTGGCCCTAACGTCAGAGGTTTCACCACTCACCCTTTTTAACGTAGAAGCATACATAGTTTTTTTTGATTGATTTAAACATTCATCTTCCGATCTGCCAGACAGCTGCTGGCCTCAAGTTCAAGTATGAACTTTGAGACATTAGCATTAAGGTTGACAGGAAACTGATGGCTTTTGCACACGTCTCACTCGTTAAACTCAGGGTAATGTTGTCCTCAGTCACACTGAAGCAGTTTGCCTGATCAATGCAGTCGCTGTGAGAGTTTCATATGTAACCAACAACTCAACTTTTATATCTGACATTTTACTTCGTCTTACACTGTCCATATTGTCCTGGATAAGCAGACCAATGATTTGTGTAAATGTTATTTATTGAAGTGGATTTGTTCAAGAAAATGCTCAGCAGACGTTCTCTTATTATGGAGCCTTATCGTCAAACTATTAGAGCTTGAATGTGTATTTTTCATGAATTGGGAAGATGTCAACTTTTGGATAAATTGTATTTTCATGGGCATTGTACAGTGTGGTTTTAAATATATGGACATATTTTAAAATCTTGTGTTTTTAATACAAACGAGTTTCAGTAATAAAGATCTTTCATCTAACTCCGCAGTAATTGCATTAGCTCTATTATTAGTCCTTGGTGGGGTTCTGTATTCTGTTGTGCATGATAAATGCAGGTCTGGTGAGACGTTGTCCCCCTTCACAGCGGAATTGTAATGAGCATGTTACTCTCCTCCCTGTCGTGAGCAGCATGCCTACCTGGGGAACTGAGGTGACAACACACGCTCATATTGTCAAATAATGTCTGCCTTTGTCCCAGCTCTATCCTATTACCCTGCAAGATGGGCACGGTGACTTTGGGAGGTGGATACACGTACAGTGGGGGTTTCCACTATCTCATCTGTCTTCATTAAAAGCAACCCACTACTGGGGGGAATATGAAAATCTCATAGTGCTGCTAATTCACGTATTCATCATTGTTGCTACATGGGAAGCTTTGTTTGTCGATGTTACAAGCTACACACCAGGTTTATAACTCTCCGAATTCACAGAAGCCAGTTCTTTTATCGGAAATGGTTTTATTTAAATATAAATATGTGTACAAAGGTACAAGCAACAATAGCTCATTTTAGCAAATAAAATTCTTAATACATTATTAAAAGAATCAACAAACAAATGGCAATTAGTTGTGTTCCGAAAAAAACAAACACAAATACATAGTAACTGCATTCAATGATTGATGAACAACTTATGTGGAACCAAATAAAGATCGATACATATGTATATAAAGATACAATAGAGCAGCTTACAGGCTGTACATTAAGGCTTATATAAAATATAAAAATAAAGACAAGCGATGATGTTTGCCGCCTCACTTTAAGGGACATTTCTTCTCTCATCAGGCTGCCTGGTAACAGCTTTTTAGACAAATGGCAGTACAGGCATACTGAAACAACCAGGAAGTGGAATGCAACTGGGCCAGGTGTTGAAACCAATGTCTCAAACATGAAATGGACATGAATTAAAAACGCTGAAGATTTTCACTAGACACATCATTTGCATGCAACAGAGAAAAAGTATGGGCTCCGCCATTTGTACAGATACTTAGTGTTTCAGGGTAGTACTGTTACTTGTAAACATATCGAGACAATTTGATTGAGAGAACTTGAGCGTATGGTCCATACTAGGACGGCCTTGCACGTCTTTCCGCACCTGAAGATGCCGTTGCATTCAAGTTTACTTTGAGTTCAAGATTGCCACTATTTTCCAAACCACCATTTTTGATTGTACTGGTAATCGCCTCCTCTGCATTTTACAATCAGAAAAACAGTACTCTGGGTCGGACAGCAGTCTTCAGCCCCGGTTTTCCCCTAAACAATTATCACCATCTTTGGGCTTTCATGACCTACCTTGTCCGTCTTGGTAACATCAAGCCGTCCATTACAGTGACGGCTAAAATTCACATTCTCTTCACACAAGTCCAACGTGTTAGGGTTCTTATCAGAAGAGGTTCCAGTAATACAGCTGAGGCCACCACTGATTAAACTCTTCCTACAGTATCGTGCCTGGAGCACTTGTTGTTCTGTGGAGCCAGCCTGTTGTGCAGAATAGTTTTTCTGTCTCTGTGGATAGCTCGGCCTTTTGTGGATGATAGAGATACAAATGTGCTTAGAATTCCTTTCGCATGCCAACAAAACACCAAATGATCGACAACCTTAGGTTGTTCATGTTTTTTTTTCCTGAAATATGTCTTGTATCTAATGTCTTTCAAAGTGTTTTAGAGTTCTTGTTTAACATTTATTGTTGACACAAAGTCAGATCTGAAAGGCAGGTAAACGGCTAACCCAGTCATTGTGGCTACCCAAATTCAGGAGAGGCTTTTGTTTTATTTTCTTGTTGGCGCTGGCACGGAGACTGAATGTCGCCACAGGCTTGGGAGGTCATCAAGTAGATGTACTTGATGAGGTATCACACTGTAATCATAGGTTTGACTTGAACATCACAATCTGCTGAATTCTCCATCTCAGGAGCTCTACAGACCCCCCCCATCCATCACAACAAATAAAGGTTGTTGACACATGGCTCCCTCCAAATACAGTCCAAACAAGTCCTTTAAGGACCGTCTGAGCAAGGTAAGTCTCTGTTCATGTTAGTCAAGCCACATATGGACGTGACAATGGTTATCTGCTCCTGTACTTTTTTTTTGTTTGTTTTCTTTTTTTTTCCTCCGTCAATTCTCTTGTCCAGTCAGACGTGAGTCTGCATACGTTGTGAAGGCCGGCCATAGTCGGACTGCTGGGAGGATACTTGTGAGGAGGCATAAGAGAAGCGGGACGAGCTGGACACCTTGCTGGCCTGATCTGACTGGTCGTACGCGTCCACCTTTTCGTAGGAAGCAGGCTTCACGTAGCTTGTGAAGGCGCGACCGTACGTAGCAGGGAGGTAAGCGGAGCCACTGTAGACGGGATCGGTGGGATAAATGCTGGCCGGCTGGGCGGGCTGCTGTTGCTGGGCGGCTTGCTGCTGCTCATACGCCGTCCTGCCTGCCGTGGTGGTTGCGTATCGGTGGGAGAAGTCATAGACGCGCGGCTGGGTGCCGTGCTGGCCGTACACGGGGCTCGGGGAGGGCAGTTGGGATGGAGTGTAGACTGGCCGTGAGTTGGGCACGTACTCGGAGAAGCCACTGCTGCGGATGTGGCGGTCTTCGTTGCCACGGACGTTGTAGTAGCCATTGGTGGGGTCCTGTGAGAAGGAAATTAGTGTGAGCTCTGCGTAGTTCAGCATTATGTACAATGGATGAAAGTAATGCGTTCTAGCTAAACTGAGAGTGTCTCTTCTCTTCATCAGTTTTACCTTGGATTCCGATCTCTCGTCCTCCTCCTCTTCCAGGAGGTCGCTGTGCTCTGTGCGCGATGTCCCAGGAGACTCGCTGCTGTTCGGTGCCTGAGGGAAGACCAACCATATATGAAGAATCACTTGGATGAGCAAGCGCCTCATAAAATAAGAAAACAGTCAGGATATAATGTTGATGTGTGAATGCGAAGGTGCTTAAAAGAAATTCACCATGGGCTCTTTGACGTCCTCCTCGTCATCGTTACCACGCGTAGCGTTGTGATCGCTGTGAACAATCTGAACTCTGATGTCGCTTTTGGAGAGACGAGTGCACCTTTTACCTGTGGGAATTGAAAGGAGGAAAAGCTTTATTTGACCGAACTAGGCAGACCTGTATATCGAAATTGACATTGAAACTACATTTAATCACAGAAGAAATGGCTCAAAAATGGACAGGAGTTGTTCGATTTTTGGCTCACAAATGAAAAGGACTTTAATCTGTTTGATTTGAAGAATTGCCCATACTAACCATTGAGCTCACCTTTGCCTGTGTGCCTGCAGCAGAGGGAGACCAGAGTGATGACACAGATGAGCAGGACACAGCCTCCACCAACTGCTCCACCAACAATAATCAACATGGGGAGGGCTTCTGCAACCAGAACAAGAAGGACAACAGTAAGGAAAAGTGTGGCGTAGCCGGTTTGTCGAGAGAAGTGGAAGGACGGAGTGAGAGATAGTAGAACATAAGTGTCAGAGTCAAGAACGTGCAGATCAGAGCAAAAGAAAGAAAGAAGGAGATCCATTCCATTGTCCTGCTGATCCCAGAAACGTCAGAGCCTACGAGAAGTCATCCGCGCTAAGCCCCGGCCTGCTCGCAGCCAGCGTATGCTCATGCGGGCGATCCGGCATCGCACAGCACTGCTATTGTCACTAATCTCTCCAAAGGAAGGGTAACAAGGCCTGACATGCAATGAAGCAACAGACAGTAATCTAATTAGAGATTCCAGGAGATACCGCTGCCCATTTCTCTAGAGACCCTACTCTGCTACGTTGATTTAAATTACTGGTGAGGACCTTATTTTTGGTGTTCGCTGCAACAAAGGCTTCCAATGACAGCAGTGTAGTAGTTCTCCCGCAAAATTCTAAGATCACGTAAAGCGACCAGCAGCTTAAGACGCTGAATTTGACACTGGGATGGAGGACATGAATCCTCCCGCAGACACATGTGGCTTCCTCTAATTGGCTTTTGTCCCCAATCAATAACTATGTTATGGTGCAAACATATTCATTAAAGGAACCATCTGCTGATTAAATCATATCGATTAGAGGAGTACACTGTAATTAAGATAAGCACAAGACAGGAGCCCTGCGTTGGCCTCTTCTGGCCTCCTTCACAGCAGAGATTGAGTGTATCATTTTAACTCCGTTTGGGATTAATACACCTGTCGCTGCGTACCTTGCTCCTTCAGCGTGACGAGGGCGGTGCCGGTGCCGAAGCGGTTCCACGCGGTGCAGTTGTAGCGCAGCTGGAAATCCTGCGCCAGGGTCTCGGACAGCACCAGGGCAGATGAGACGCCGTGGTCGCTGGTTACGGTCTGCACTGAAAAACGGCCGGAGGAGCCAGAGGACAGGCTCGTGTCTCCGAAAGTCCACACCTATGGGGAGGAGCGGGTGGAAAGACAACGGGGGGGAGTAAGTCACATTTCTATGAAGAGTTGCTGACCGGCGAGCTAAGCAGAGGCCTGCGCGGCTGTTTTCAACGCTTAAATCCCGGCCCGCCGCCGACCGGACAAAGAGTTGCTCTCTCTGTCTCGTTTTGTCTCTGCCGACCCCTTAGGTGCTCCGCGGCTGACACAGCTCACAGGCTCATGTTTAAGTCGCCTCCCACGTCTGCCCTGCGGGTGAGGTGAGGTAGCTGCGCCATGAAATAAGGCTCCTCTCTGCTGTCTCCAGCGCAGGGACAGCAGGGCACCTGTCTCACGCCCTAATTACCCTCTCTCAGCCCGGCGTGCGTCCGGCAGTTCAACGGGGTCAGTCAGCCCAGTGATGCCTCTTGGGCCGCTAATTGAATGGGGATTCACTGAGACCTACAGGAAGCTGGTCTCCCACAGCTCTGTGAACTCCACTGCCTCTCTAGTCAATGTCACGGCAATCGCAGTTGTGAATATGTGTGTGTGTGTGTGAGTGTTTTCCAGTGTGGGAAGTGGTGATGTGATGGTGCAAAAGTGTGAAGGTGAGGTCAGGGGTAAAGATGCACTGAGCCATCGCTCTGATGTTGGTGTGGCCAAGAGGAACATGATGAACAGGTTGTAAGGTCCCAAGCGCAGTGAAATGACACACGACACAAATAACTGAGCTCACTCACAATCTTCTCAGGCGGGGGGCTGCTTCCCACCCGGCACTCCAGCTTGCCCTTGGAGTGCTTGACAGCGTGCTGCGTAGCGTCCACTGTGAGGATAGGTGGGCCTGGTGGGAAGGAAGAAGCAATGGCAGAGTGAGAAGATCAGAGAGTAGAAATGGGTACATAGATTATGAAATATTGACCAATGCCAAACTGTCACCACATTGGTCCAAACGTCACAAGCAACCGTGGATACTCTGAAAAGAAGCCACTCACCGTTCACGGTCAGAGTGACATCTCTCTCTGCCACCCCAATCCGAGGCACGATGGCCTTGCAGGTGTATGTTCCAGCATCCTCCTGGGTAACAGCCTTCAGCTGCAAGGTGTTGCTATTGCTGAGCACCTAGGGAGGAATCCAGAGAGAGGAGTGAGAAGTGTGTTGGGGAGAGAGAGAAGGAGCGAGGGGAGAAGGGGCAGACAAAGAAACCCAGGACCTTTTATCAGCGGCCCACTGATTGTAGAGCCAGCGCAGAGGTGGGCTGACCGTTGTAACAAATGCTGGTGGTTTAAGTTTAATTTCATTGTGAAGAGCTTTAATCACGGCATTAAGCACTCCAGCCACCGCCGAATGGCTGTGCTGCAGGGGAGATTGTTGTAATTAAACAGTGGGGACAGAGCGGAGCGCACTACGGTGTGAGTGGGCCTTAGCCTTTGGAGCCGCGACACTCACTCACTCCTTAGCTCATTGATTCTGTCATTCCATCAAGCTGTGATTAATCCATTTACCCCCACTCTGTCCCCCTCCCTACATCCACCCCCACATCTCCACCCTCTCTCCATTTTTTATTTTTATTTCAGCACGCTCATGGAGTAACCCAATTAATCTATTACACGTAGCTTTTTGAGGGGCAGCGGGTGGATTAGAAAAAATCCAGTCTGCGTTTTTTTCTCCCCGTCACTCTTTGAGATGACAGCATCGCTCACGCCACCCTGCGGCATTCCTCACGCGAGGTGTTTTCTCCAGCACCAGGAGAGAAGCTTACCACGCTGGAGCCTTGCTTGGTCCACGCCAGGGTCAGAGGAGGGTTTCCAGTCCATGCACAAGTGAAAGCAGCATCCATCCCCATGTCCACCGTCATCGGCTTGGGCTCCGACAGCAGTCTGGGGCCAACTAGGGGAAAGCGACACAAACGGCCATAAGAGGTTTTCACGATAACATACCTCGAGAAAGTGCAAAATACGTCGCTAAGCGAGACTTTGTAGAATATTTGCCTTTTTCAACTCACATTGGACATCGACTAGAGTGCTGACGTTGGTGCTGCCCACAGAGTTGGACACCTCACAGGAGACGGGGTCTGTGAAGTAGGAGTAGTCCACTGTCACCTCAAGGCTGTCCCCATTTGCCTCGGAGATGGGAACTCCTCCTTTTGACCACCTGGGACAGATGAATAATTACATTATACAGTCGCATTGGTTCGGGGTGGGCATTCAGCCATGCGAATCAAAGTGGTTATTACCCGATTCATGGCTTGTGCCAATCACAATCAAACGCTGCCAATCAAGCAGCCCCATTTAATCCAATGAATCTACAAATCACTTGCATGCTTATTCTGCTTCTTTCTGAATTACAACTTTACAACGGTTGGCCTGCTGGCAGTATATGATGTCTGAAAGTGGCTGTGTGATTTTTGTCGTATCAGCATCTTACACTGCTGGCTCTGCATGGATGGTGGCAGGATCGCAGTTAAAAATTCTGATTAAAATAAATGATGGATACCTGTATCCAGTGATTTCCGGATTGGCCGAAGCTGAGCAGATGAAGAGAACCTTCGCTCCCTCAGCTACCGTCTGAGGCTGGACTGATAGAGTCACTGAAGGAGGGTCTGTGAAAAGCAAAACCTTTGTTACTTTATGGCCAAAAAACAACACTATTCACATAATCAAATGTGCGTTTCATATTACTGTGCAAAGCGTGCACTCTGCTACAACGGTGCAATACTTTGGTTGTCTGTGTACAGCAGCTTGAGCAGGGACACTCACGCTGGACATTGATAGTGACGGATATCTGTCGTCCAGCTGGGGCAGCTTGGTTGAGAACCCTGCAGGTGTAAGTGCGTCCAGAGTCGCTATCCTCAGGAACAATTGGAAGCATACTGACAGCCGCCTCCTTCTTTCCATCTCCAAGCAGAGTCTGTAGAGTCGCACAACAACTGTTAGATCCTCCTTTTTTGTGCAAACAAACCAAGCTTTTAATGAAAGAATGACTCCTTTTCCGTTGAGCAGAACATGCAGAGCATCAGCTCAGTGGCACACAAGCGAGTCGCCTGCTCTATGTGACTGCACCGCTAACTGCAGGTCTCATTTTTTCTCATGTAAGGCGTTAAAATTGTCATCCCCTTCTTGGAATGGCAGTTAAATCAGATATTTTACGAGGCAGCGGGGGATATTGTGCTGTTCCCACATTTCTGAGAGTGTTCCCCGTCAGCGCTACTTGTTTGTCATCATCTTTTAAATCTATTTACTGCTCCCAGAAATCAATATGCCTAAGTGAGGAAAGGTGTATATTCTGGTATTCTGAGGATATTGCTGGCGGCGCTCTCACTTTCTCTTTGTCTTCCTCGTACACACACTCAGAAAAAAAAGTGATGTTTTTTGTGTTTTTTTTTGGTTGGTGACAGTGAGGAAGAAGTGTTCTTCATCTTCCACATCTAAGGAAGAGGGCACGGGCACGCGGAGATTCCTCCATGGACAGCCAAATCAATGGACGCAGGCTTTCCCCTCCTCAGCCAGAAACCGAAAAAGCACTTTACGCTGGATCAAATCACATCACTCGCTGACATCACCCCTCGCTAAGACAAAGCTTCCTCTGCCCTCAGTCTCATTTCTTAATGGTAGAAATAATCTCCTGTTTTTCTCAAAGCCATCTCATTAGTCAACTCTATATTCTTTTTTTCATCTATTCTGCTTACCCCCCCCCCTGTCTTCTCCTCCCTCCCCCCCTCCAATCCTCTGCCCTCGCTTCTCGCTGCCGCCTTAAACGTGGCGTTTAGCGTCGTTTAGCATGGTCAGAGAGCATGAAAAATGTGACACTTTCCCAGCCGTGGCTGGCTTACGCTCTGGCGCATCCCCATTGTGTTTTCTGCATTGTTGTGGGTTATTTCTCCTCTGCAGAAACTCTACTGTATGAAACGCTCATGCCTGCCTGAGCTTTGGCATGCTCCAGTTATGCTGTAGTGTCGCTGCATTAGGGAGCAAAGGGGGGGGGTTAGCGGCGGCAGGGAGGCGGAGGCAAGGAGAGTGGGGGGGTCAGGCAGGAGTGAAAATGGGAGGGGGACTGCAGAGAGGGAGCAAAGAAATTGTGCGATAGACGGGTGGTGATAGAATAAAAAAAAGTGAGACCATAAAAGGAAGATTAGAAAAACAAAGAGGAATCATCCCCTTAGAGAAAACACAAGTGATTTGAAGAGCTTTGCATTCATTTCTGTGGCGTTTATTATGTCATAATATAGTGTGGTTGTGGGTGTTTTCATGGTGATGCTGGGAAGAGATGTGGACTAAGATAGAGATACGGTACCTTGGAATAAATTGCAGTCTCCATGACCTCTCCATCTCTGTACCAGGTGATCTCAGCAGCAGGTCTGGCTCCCGAGGCTCTGCAGGTGAGATTGTGCGGTGTGTGGGCCTTCAGACGTACAACGGGGCCACCCTCCACCACGGGGTCTGAAGGAGGAACTGTAAAGCAGAACAAACATACAGCTCAACGCAAAAAAACTCCTTACAGCTCCAGGCCGGCACGGAGTCCCGAAGAGGCCACACTGTAATTGAGCACGCTGCTGCTCTCAGCTCAGCATCAATATATCGCAACATAACAGCATAAGAGGCAAACAATATCTTCTTATGGCCATGTGTCTTAACAAAGTGTTGTTTCAGCCAAGAGAAAAGAGAAACAGTTTTCATTTAAAAAGAAAACATACTCAACCACATGTTTTTCCTTTCTGGGGACTAGCATTATTACTCTATTTGCGCTTACTGTTGCAGAGTGATGTTTCAACTGAATTACTTATTTGTCCATTTATTTGCATGGTTTCACTCGCACCACTGGCAAGCCAAGCGTGCCACCCCCTGATGAAGGCGTCTATCTCCCCAACGAATATGAGAAGGCGTAAACATGGGGTTTGTGCTGGCCTTTCTCGCTCCCTCCGCCGAACCAATTTCACTGTGTGTATCTGAATTGTCAGAGGTCCTTCCGCTACCGCAACACGGACACTAATGGAATCCGAGTGCTAGGTGATTTTAATTTCCATGCCGATTCCCCTGACTGCACTCCTGCCGTTGACTCTTTTGACTGTGCGGGATTGCTTTGGTCTCATCTGGCCACATTGATTCGTAGACAAGCGCACACATACACACACACACACACAAAGGTGTGTGTACCACTTTTGCACACCCTTATGTCCAAAGGTAAACATAAACCACGGGTTTGTGAGCAATTCACATAATTTGCTTTATATATTTATGAATTGCATATAATGTACCAGTGGATTTGGTATTTCAGACAGCGTTAAATTGAAGGAAAAAGACCCACATGGGTGTCTGTGTGGCTGTGTGGGCATGTGCTGAAAGCTTTGACAGTGACACGGGGCACATACAGGTCGGTTGGTGAACACGGGGGAGCTTTCTGAACCCATTCATTCAGTTGAAACATTCCTACATGCGCTTGTGATCGCTTTCTGCTTGCCTTTCCATTACAAGCCTATCTGTACCGCTTGTCACTCTCATTAACTCACACTTGCACCCCTTAATAGCAACCGATAAATTCAAGGACAACAGGCACTGTGGTGAAAGCTTTGCGATGTGGCATAAGCTGATTAACTAATTAAAACCTCCCTCCATAAGTTGTGCCTTAACTCTTTGTAATACTTTCACGCGGCGCGACAATTAACAGGACGGGTTTGCGTAGAGTTCCTTTAGGTGCCACCAGATGCCAGCAGTGCTTTTCCAATTCCGATCCCCACAGGACCCCCCCACCCTCCCTCCCTCCCTCCCATTCTCAACCCCCCCGAATGTCTCTGTGAAGAAGTAGATCACTCACATCATGTTAATGTAAAAAGCGCCTTGCCGTTGACAAATGTTGTGGCTCACTGTAAAATGTGCTAACTGTGCAAACCCTGACGCTCAAGCGGCTACGCGAGTCATTTGTGACTGCAGCAATCACATTATCCTAGACATCCACGGTCTTGATTATCGCTTCTCAGAGCAGTGGGTTTCTTTTTCTTTCTTTTTTTCCTTCCAGATGAATCTGTTGGCTGAACCTTGCCTGGTTTGAATGATACTTTCAGGACATGATGCAGAAAACTAGATTCAAACTGAGGATATCTTCTGAGTGGAGAAAAACATGTTTGTGAACCGCTAATTCTTTTTATCAATCTACGTGAAGACGTTCTTGAAATGAGATTATCTCGTCTGGTGTACGCGTTATTTGTAGGACGGTCTCCGTGTCTCTGTGCTACGTGATGAAAACACTCCCCTGATTGTTCCCAAGCGCTGCCAGCTTGCAGGCCTTGGCACGAGGGCTGGCTGTGAGGATCATGCATGAGCCGTGTATCTTACCTAGTACAGTCAGCTTAGCACGGTGGGAGCGCAGTCCTGCTTGTGTAGCTTGACACTCATACACCGCGTCATCCTCCAACTCTGCCGAATCGATCAGCAAGCTGTGCTCGCCTGATAGCGGGTCGCCCATCAAGGAATACCGCTTCCAGCCTGCATGAAGCCGGCCGGGAGAATAGAGGATAGAGAATAGAGACAAACAAACCCAATAAAACAACACGTCAGACTTGTGCTTTAAACAAGGGAGGGAGAAACGTGCCTCTTTTTAAGACACAAATGAAAGCATGAAAAACCTCAGTGAGCAACTGGCGTTGAGCCTTTGTGTTAGTAGAGCGGTGTGAGATAGGACATGCAACACGTGAGAGGGCTGCTGCATGAGGAGTCTGTCCTTTAAAGACAGACACAATGAAGATTGGGTGGCTAAGGTCAAGAGGAAGCCTCTCCACCTCTTCTCTCTAGTCTACCGCACATTTAAATGTCAGTGCGTGACAAAAGCCAATTGATTATCTACCTTCCTACCAGACCATTAAAATGCTAAACAACAAATTAAAGTTTGCTGTGTGTGTGTGTGTGTGTGTGTGTGCAGCAGTGGCCACCCTGTCTGCGATACATTGTTCACTAAACATTAATTTTCGTAAAACTCCGGCAGTTGACACAGAGTGACTTGGTTTCTAATAAGACCTTGCATTGATCGTGGTAAGACACACTGAAGAGAGAGCCATAAACACACGGAAGGCAGGAGACATAAACTGTGATAATACCTGGTAGGTCTCTCTCTCCACCCAGCGCCAGGCCATCTTTGGTCCATTGCACCATTCCTCGATAACCCACAATCACACAGGGTAGAGTCACGGACAGACCCGACACGACCACCTGGTCCTGGGGTTGCTGGGAGAAGTGGGCTGCTTGGGTGGCTGCTGTGATAAACACAAGGAGGGAGAACGCAATGTGAACACATATTGATTTACAGTTCATATTTTCTATGACGGCCGCCGGACAGCCGGACTGAAATTCGCAAAACAGCTGCGAAATATATAATGGCGCAGAATACTCCTGATGGTGTTTTATATGGTGTAACGGCTGTGGGTTTCTGCACTGCAGAGATGCAGAGATGCAGTGTGAGAAAAGAGAAACCTGCCCTGTAAGGGGTGTGAAAAAACAGGTTAGTATGAAAGAGGGTGGACTCGTGTTCTCACTCTGGTTTTCATGGCACTCGCTGAGAAAATAGAGGCTGAGATGTGTGAAATGTATTTATTTCCTTCCCCCCAATGAATGTTAGTTCCAAGAGTCGGCTGCGCCTCCTGACTTATTTAAGTCTTTCTCAAGACCATATGGTTATGCTCGCTGACGTGAAACAAACACACTTCTGGGGAGGAAAAAAACGCCACTCTTTCAGTGTGCTTTTTTGTAAAAATGGATGTTAAACAATCAAAACTCCATTAAAGTTCCCAGGGGACCCGTCCGTTCGAGCCTGCTGAAAGTCGGCGGAGACACCTGCAGCTGTTGGGCTGCTGTGTTTATGTATGGCGCACGGTCCCGCTGGATTATCTGGCCTGCCTTCATGCCAAGACAGAAACCACGCGGCGTGAATATGGTTGCGTGGTTCCAACGGTTTGTGCCACTATGCTGAAGATTAAGTATTAGGAACACCAGTGACAGGGGGGGGGGCAAGACTATGGAGGTAACTAATCTGTAGGGGGAGGTGGGAGCAGAGGGAGAGAGGCAGTTGGTTGGTTATCTAAGTGGGGTGTCTGTTTGAGTCTGCAAAGAGGACTTAAAAAAAAACTTCAGTCAGTCTCCCTCTCTCTCTTTGTTACTGGGTGGAGAATGGAAGGGAAGGGGGACAGAGGAAGATAAAGAGGGTTCTATTCAGCCAGTGCTAAGCCCCCCCCTGAACTGCTTCTCTTGGTGGCAGCGCTTAAACAGACAGGGTTGCCCCCCCACCTCCCTCCAAGCAAAGAAAGCTGCTGAAAGGAGGGCAACATACGGCGGCCAGAGACGCGCTATTGTCCCCTTGTCCCTCTCTTTTAATAGGCCTCTTCATTTCCAATCAATCCTGCTAAATGCAAGTTTAATAGCTTTTCAATAGCAGCTTTTCCCCCCAGAGGGTAGCTGGGATTTTCTCTCTCACCCCCTTTCTCTTTCCCCTTCTCTCCCCCCACTTCTTAGGCTTCATTCTTTCTAGTCTTCTCCCTTTTTGAATGGGGGGCTTCCGAGGTTGTTGGCAGTGTTTATTCTGCACTCAATTATCCACTTCATCTCCGGGTGCACTGTGTGCTAAACCCTGCCGCCCCCCCTCGCTCCATTTGCACCCTCCTGTCTCTGTCACCCAATAGCACAATTGAGGCCGCCAAACAGTGAGGTCATCAGGAACGCGAGTTATCCGTGGGCCGCACGAATGTGGTTCTCAACTGTCTCTACAAAAAAAACCATTTTCACATGAACCCATTCTTTCTCCTCTCTCCATCTGGGCTACAAGAGATGTTAATAGATTGCTAAAAGGAAGGAGACCACAAAACCATGAATGTTCGCTCTCCGATAATGTCTGCCATCGCGTCTTTCATCATTTTACCAAGCGTCTAAAAGCCTTTGGAGCCGTGTGTGCAAACAGGTGTATGTGTGTCATGCACCGTGGATCAAAGCAGGCTAATTTGAGCGCGTCAATGAGAAGCAAACCATCTTCAAGCTGAGGCTATTAAGCGTTTCGCAAAGGCATTTCCTCATCGTACTTTCAAAAATGCTGTATGTCTGCCTTTTATGACATTACACCACAAGACATTTCCATGTGCCTATGTCCTTGCAGAGGGATTTTTCTCTACTCTACTAACAGGATCTTGCCCAGAGGATCGTGGTGTCTAGTAATAATTATCTGTATTGTTTGATTGTCTGGGAGAATGACATCCACTGAATTATTTCTCTTTACCTCGGCCACATACAATTTCGCACGCTTACATATTTGCAATCAACGTCACGCGAACACACACATGCAAATATAGACTGCAGCGTCTGTGCTGTGGTGAATGTCTTCACACCATGTGAGTGATTCATTGCTCTCCAGATCCCTTATTGAAAATGCTCCACGGAACATCTCGAAGGGCTAATGACTCATGCCAGATTCCTTTAATTCCTCCTTGCTGAATTAGACAATTCTTTGACGGTGTATTAGCAGCTTAATTACATGAATACATTTCTGACGGGGAGCGAGGGAGGAACAGAGGCAGACAAAGAAAATGGTGAAAGAGAGGCAGTGAGAAGAAGTAGGGAGCTGTGGGTGTGAGCAGGCTGCTTCTCGGTGTGCTGCAGTGCCACATCTACTCACACAAACACTGCAACCACCATTGCTCTCAGGCTTGCTTTCAGTGTTTGTTGGTTACAATTGAATCAAATTCAAAAAGGACAATTTGAGCCCCCTTAAAACATTTCTGCAGTAGATGTGAGCTTATTTACCTTGTCGTCTTGCATGTTACGCAGGCAGCCAGATTAGTTGCACCACATGCGGTGTGCCGAATGTTACCTTTAATGCAGTTCAATTTTAGTCTTCATGACAAAATAAAAAAAGATCACTCAGTTTCTCACCTTTTGTATGTGTGTGTGTGAGTGTGTTCTTTTCCATTCCCCAGTAACAAGGTCAAAACACATTTGGCCTGGTATATTTTAATCCGGATTTCTGAAAATGGAATATCATTTCACGCTGCTGGATGCACATGGGGCTAAGTTTATGCGTGTGTGCATCTCTGCCCGACTGTGTGGGCTCAGTGTGTGTATGTGTGATAGAAGTGTGTGTCTAAAAATGTGCAATGTATGTTTATGTCTGTGTGTGTGTGTGTGTGTGTGTGTGTGTGCCCATTTAAATGGGTGGATGAGTGTTGAGGGTGGGGCAGTGCTAATAGGGAAAGCAACATGGCAGCCACTGAAGGGCACATTTAGCAGTAACTTTGACACAGTGACTTCACTGTCTCTGTCACATGGTGGGAGTTAAGTGCAAGGCAGCCTCTCTGACTTGGACACAACCTATTAAAGAGCTTTGCGTCCACTCTGGCACTGCCTGCAAACTCCCTCCTTTATCTGTGCTGATAGGGATACACTCACATCAGGAAGGATCAGGAAGAGATGGACAGATGTCCGCCATGATCCGTCCTCCAGTGCACATCTGCCTTGATAGAATTAGATTGTGTGTGTGTTTGTGTGTGTGTGTGTGTGTGTGTGTGTGTGTGTGAAAGATAATTGCACCTCAGATGACGTTTTGCTAAAGTGGGGATCTAAAAAACTACAGACTACAAACTGCATTTACTATCAAGTCACTATAGTCATAATCTCTCATGCCAATTTGGAAGTATGGCAAAAAAAATGAAATAAAATCTTGCCTTTAAGACGGCATCCGAAAAGTCAGGTCCTTCAAATAAAACCTAAAATAACGTCTGGCTTGTAAGAGCTCAGCGATGCACTGTGTCCATTTCCCTGTGTTGTTACAATGACACTCAACAACAAGTTCATTCACTCTAAGAGGCTCCGAGCTACGTTTGCAGAGAGTCCCTATTTTAGTCCCGATTTCATTCCAGGTCCTCATTCCAATCCGGTGCAAAGAGTGCAACATCCAGTCCTGTGGGATCTATAAATAAAAGTGCTCTCAACTTGACTGGACAATTTGCTCTTTGCAGCAATAATTCAAAATGTTAGAAAATAGCGCCTGATATCTACTTTTCTCCCCAGTGGTGGAGCTAGTCTCCTGCAGCCAGCTGGTTGCCACAATAAGAGTCAGAGAGGAGAAAACAAGGGGGGAAACAGTCACACACACACACAAAAAAACAGCACAAGGCAATTGGCAAAAAAGTGTCACGCTTAGAATAAACAACCCCTTTCCCCAAATGCCATCCATTGTGCCTTGTCTCGATAAGGCTTCTAAATCGGGCTGGAAAATGCAAGCTCCATTTCTCTCTGTGTGGAATTATTATCCCTTTGTTTTGAGTTGGGCTCTTTTGTCTTCCCCTTCCTATGTGTCTGTGCGTGTATACAAACAGATAGTAGTGCTGATGCAGCCGAACCAAAGAGTATGTCCCAAAGGGGACCCTGCACCCATCTCATGTTTGATCTGGCTACTAAGCTCATTACCATGACTCCTTCAGAACTTCTGAGTGCTTGAAGGGGACTAATAACAGATACCACCCACCAACTCGTGGCAGTGGCGCACCCAACACAAGCACTGCACCAACGCTTCTTTTGACTTGGACCTCTGCGAACTCTTTCAGTTTGTACCTCTGCAGTCCGTCTCCCCTCATGCGTCCCTCTATCTTCAATCCTGTCTGTCCCACGTGGCATCACATCTGCACTCTAACCCACCTTCCCTCGCTGTCTCGCAGCATAACAGCTTTTTAAGAGTTGTTTGCTGGAGTTTAATCCTCCTCGGCTCTCCTTTCAGCCGTGTTTCCATTGTGAAAATCTTGACTCAAACCTGGAAACTTCTTAGCCGTTGGCTCCGCTTTACTAACCAACCCCCCCATTGTTCTGCTGATACCCAAACCCAGGGCATTTCTTCCTCTACAATCCTGCCCTATCCTCCCATTCCTCTGCTCATCACTCATTCGTTTGTGAGCAGGCCCCCCCTCGGACAGTTATGTGTTACTAATTGTTGATTTGCTTTCTCGTCGCCTCTTTCTGCCACCACTCTGCATTTCCGTGTCAGCTGTCATCTCTTGCAAGCGTCTCCCTTACACTTTCTCGCCCCATCTTTCTTTCTTCTAGCTCGCATCCCCTGTCCCTTTCTCCCGCTCTCTGCATCCCTGGTGTGAAAATCACAGGGGTTTGTGTGAGCTTGTCAACACAACACTCAAAAAAGAAGAGAAGGCGAGTGGAAAAACAACAAAAAAAGAGCCACTGTGTGTTCGAAAGAGCGCAAAAACTGGGGTGAGGTAAAAAATGG